GCTACAGCGACCGCCGTCGTCCAGATAAAACCAGTATTAAAGAATAGAATGAGGTGGAAAGAGGACAAAGCAAAGCAAACCTGCAGCAGGATGATCTTCTCTTCTTGCCTCCGAGTGCAGATGCTGATAAAGACCAACTCTTTTATAGGCTGAGATGTTGATCCAGATATGATGAAATGTTGATGAAATTAAACATGTCATCTTCCTGCTGTGTATCCTGGTTGTGTGGTCACGTTTTGTGAGAGTTTAACTCGATGCTGACACTCTGTTTAAACGTCTCTTTCGACACGTGGATTCTATTTGTTTTGACTTGACTTGTTCCAGTGAAAGAATAATAAATGACAATCACAAAAGAAACAAAATGAGCAGAATTAGACATAAAATTAACATAAAGAAATAGAAAGTGACTTTAAAGGGAGATTAAAAGTTCCACATGTGACACAAAGAGATGCAAAACAACCAAAACGATCCACAAAAGAGACGTTTCAGAGGCATTAAACAACCACAAAGAGGAAAATAGCAGCAAAAATATGTTAAACAATCAACCTGAGGTAGAAAACAACCACGAAGAGACCGAAAATGATCATAAAAAGACACAAGAGATGCAAAACAACTGAAATCGCTAAAAACTATGGGATCTTATTGCTGCTTTCAAAGGACGGTGTCATCAGTGGTTAGATTCTCTGTCCGGTCCTGAACTTTACACTGCAGGAACTCCACAAAACTGGCTTTTTTTTAGCCCCTTAATTTGCATTTTTGCTTTGAAGGCAGATCTAAGATGCATCTACTGCCTCCTGCTTTCAAATTAAATCAGGCGTAACGTTAAAACGTCAGCTGGAGGCCGTGTTTTCAGCTCACGTCTGCTTCAGCAAGGTCACAAATAAACTAATTTCACGACCGATTTCATGCCATTTGTCGACTTCTTTCATTTTAAATGTGTACATTTATAACCCTGAATGTGTTGCAAAGGAAAGGTCAGTGAAAAAAAAAACTCGCTGATAAATGTTGTGAAACACTGACTGACACGTTCTGTGACTTTGGTGAGACGACACTCACGCATGACGATGCAACTTGCAAAACCTGTCCAGTTGTTCAGCACAGATAACGGTGGTGCATCAGTTCATCAGAAGGGTCAACAATTCATAGGAGCAACGACATTTCATGACCGGTTCAACAGTATTCAGAACTAAACGTACAGACAAAATGTCCCAAATGTGACACAAAAACCCTCAAAATGGAATAAAAGAGACCAAATGGCAACAAAGAGCTGCAAAACCACCACTCAAAACTACTTTAAAGAGATGCAAAATGACTACAAAGAGATGCAACACAGCTAAATGAACACCCAAAGGAGATGGAAAGTGACGACCAACAGACAACACGGCACACAAAAGAGACGTAAAAATGACCACAAAGAGACGAAACAGCAACAAAAAGATGCAACATGGCTAAAATCAGACGTAATATCGCCACAAAGAACACTGAAATGACCAAAATGACCCAAATGTGACACAGAAGAGGTGCTAATCAGCCAAAACAGCACAATGAAGACACATGCAGTGACGTGAGGTTGTTCAATCGCCAGAATGTTCCACCTTTGTTCATGTAGGCACGTCGTATAAAGAATGTTCTGTCATGCAAAGCCTCGATGACATCTTAAAAACGTTTCAACAATATTGCAGTGAGAACATCTGTCTTATAAAAGAACATTCCCTCAAACAAAAGGCCAAAAGTTCTGTCTTTCATATATAAAGCTACAGGAACGTTATAAAACGTTCTGCCATCGGAGGCCTCAAGAACATCTGGAAAACATTTTTTGAATGTTGCACTGAGAACATCCTTTCTTTGTCTGCATCGCGGATACGCCGTTCAGAAGAACGTTCTACAGAGTGCTCCTTCAGCAACAGGGCAACATGTTCTTCGTTCGCATTACAGGAACGTTCCAAAGCATTCTGCATATTCAACATTCCGTCACCTGAGGCCTCGACAACATCCCGAGAACGTCTTTTGAACGCTGGTTTGCTCCTTGTTGCGGTGGAACGTCGTGAAAATCTTTTGTAGAAGAACGTTCGACAGTGTTGTTCCCTCAGCGGTGTCCCCAAAACGTCCTCAGAACGTGACAGGCCGAATGTTCCACCTTTCTGAATCTGTCGCAGTGCAGGAATGTCTTGTAAGGAACGTTCTGTCATCCGACGCTTCAGTAACATCTTGAAAATGTTTTGTAAATGTTGCACTGAGAGCGTTCTCTCTCTTCGTTGTGGAATCGTCCTTTAGAAGAACGTTCTACAAAGTGTTCCTTCAACAAAAGCTGTTCTTCATCGAATATGTCACAGTACAGAAACGTTCTGTCATCTGAGGCCTTGAGAACATCTGGAAAACACACTTTAAATGTTGGTTTGAGAACATTCTTCCTTTGTTGTGATGGAACATTGTGAGAATGTTTCACAGAGTCTGTAATGTGTTTGCTCAACAATATCCCAGAGACATCCGCAGAACATTACACCAGGAATGTTCCACCTTCCACATTTTATACAAATCACCTGAAGCATCAAAAACATCTTGAAAACATTTCATTTCATTTTTAAAAACATTCTTCTTTTGTTGTCATAGAACAGAATTGACTTGTTGAAATGATTTTTTTTTTCCCCCCCTAAAATGTTCTTGGAACATTTGATTAAAACATTTTCTTTAGAAATAGATAAGAACTTGTCGGTGATGTTATCCAGCGTTGTGGGAACGTTCCCAGGGTTCTCCTTGTGAGGGAGGCTGCTTCCATGAAGGAATGCACATGGTCTGCAGCGATGTTCAGGTTGTTGTTTTGTATCAGTGTCAAGTCCAGATAAACGCCAGAACCCAAAGAAGAAGTTCTTCACTCCGTCTGTCGGTGGTTTTAATGTTGTGGCTGATCGGTCTGCTGATCGGGTTGGAATCTTTCCCGTTTTGCACCTTGCAATGCTTCATCGTTTGTGTTTTTCAGCCACGTTGGTGCTGCTTGTTCGAACAAAGGCTGACTCTGACGATGACTCGGCAGTTAAAACAAGCCTTCACCTTCACAGAGCTGACAGGGCGATGGTGGGGCGGGAGATGATGCAGCGGAGATGAAATGTTAAAACTCTTGCGAAACAACTTCTGTTTCGAAGTTGTTTGCAGAAGCTGGCGCTTCTTCAAAATGTCACTCGGGCTGTTGGTTAATAGTGATGATGACGATGGAGACCGCATGTGCTCTTATCTGCTGTCAAAAGAAATGCACGCCGACCAGAAAACACAAAACCGCCTAAATCTGACACAAAAGAGAAGCAAGACAAGCAGACGTGAATACAAAACGGCAGCAACAAGATGCAAATCAACAAAATTAGACGCAGAGAGATGTTCGTAACCGCAAAGTGTAAAAGAACCTTTCAAGAGACGCAGAAAAGCCACAAAAAGAACGTAAATGTGACCCAAAAGAAAATAATCTAAATTCCCCATTTGTTTTTGAGCTTCACCTGCAGCAACAACAACCGCTTGATCAAGGACTGCGGGCAAAGCAACGAATGCTGCAAATACGGTTAAAGTTGTTTCCACGTTCTGTAAATAGTGTGATTTCTTTGCAGCTGTACCAGTTGGATGATCGATCAACTGATGGGTTTGTAGCTTCTCATGTCGAGTTTTTCCTGTTGGTCAGACAAAAGAAGGCTTTCAATCATTCCTTAGGCTGTTCTACAAAAGTCTTTTGTTTGGGCATTTCCCCTGCTTTGTGATGTTTAATTGATCAAAGATGAGTAGATTCATCAGTAATGAAAGTATTTGTCTTGTCGTTGCCCTTCATCTGTGACTTTCCTGGAAAACATTCAGTCATGACATTCCCATGTGATAAACTGCCAGCTTCTTCTGTCGGTTTAATATCAAACAACCCAAATGAACCGGTTCTGTACGCCTTTTTAAAAGAGTTTGCGGTATTAATCATGGTATTAAAGTTGCCTCTTTCAGATACAGTAAACTAGACTCATGAGAGGTTGTAGTAAGTCAGTGCTTGAGCCTGTTCATTTACCTCCAAAGTTTTAAGGAATTTCCAGGATGCAACTGATTACAGGTGCACACATGGGAAGCCAGTATATAAAGAAAAAGGTCTTTAAAACGGAACAGGAGACACCACATATAACTGATCAGTCCTTATTTAACCACATTTTCTGTGCATCTTTGCCTGTTTTAGTATAATTATTAAGCATATTGAGCTGCTCCAAATAAAGGACAGGTTGTCAAATCATACTATTGATGCAATCCGAATGAGCAAAAAGATATTTAACACCTGTCAGTTCTGGCAACTATCACCCATCTCCATTTTGAGGGGACACCGTTGCTGCATCCAGGGCTGAGCTCGGCCCAAGTCAAAGAATGACGAAGAATTGATTTCCAGTTCGGATGTGCAGTGCCGTGCAGGGCGGAGCTGTAGGTCAGCCGGTGTGCTCGAGCTGCAGCAAGTGGATTATTTTAATATCTACCTTTGATTCAGGTTTATTGCTGGAGACAGATATGAAATCAGTGAAGTAAAACCGGCTGCTCTGTCATAGCTAACCACGAGTTGATTATTTGTAGGGCATCACCTCCTCATGACAACGTCCATCTGCTTTTTAAAAAAAACATCATTTGTATGCATCTTCTTGGCAGTGCAAATGTAAGTACATCTAAATATCTACATGTGCCATCAGCTTCTTTTAGGTTTACCGTTGGATTGTAGAGTTCTGAGCACACTTTGTCCAGGAGCTGTATGTCCATGTATGTAATTCTGTCTCACTTCCTCATTTTACTGAAGATGTAAAGATAAGAAAGTGTATTTATGATCTGCTCTCTGTGCTGAAGGGTTCGCAGGAGGAGGAGATCATCCTGCAGCAGGTCTGCAACAAACTCTGATCGTCTTCTGTCCTGTTTACATTTAATCAGTGTAAGCTTCGCTGACATCTCTGCTTCTCTTGACTGAAGGTTCCGATCAGCATCGCCTCACCATGAAGACGCTGTCCGTGTGTTTGCTTGTTTGCGCCGTGACGGCTCTGACCAGAGCTGCTGGTGAGTATTTCCTACAGTGTTAGTTACCTGAACACATCGGCAAGAGATGAACCAAGTCAGTGACTGCCATGTGGTGTTTCTGCAGCTTTTCCAGAAGCAGCAGCTGAAAACAATCAACTGGGTAAGCAGCCAAGCATTTTGAAGGGATCTCATGTTAGCAGTCAGACATCACAGTCCTGCACACTGTTGATCACTTGTACCCGTTTCATTAAGTTTGATGTGTGAGGTTTTTAAAATTGCTAATTGGAGGCTTTCAGACATTTTCCAACTATTTATATGGCAGCAGCAATATTAGGTTGTTCTTGCAGCTTCAAAACACATCCAGAGTCTTGACCTGCACGTTGCTAACTGTGCTTCTGCTCAGCTAAGAGTCGGCTGGTCAAGAGGTCGGCGTCTTGCTCTGGTGGCTGGTCTGAGTTCAACGGTCGCTGTTTCCGCTACGTTCCCAGACCCATGACTTGGGCTAAAGCCGAGGTAGCCGCTCAGTTTGTTGAGCAACTTTACTTCCTTTTTGCTGTGAGTCCTGCCATTGATTCATTTCACTGTTTCCCTGTAGAGAAACTGTCAGTCTTTTGGTGGAAACCTGGCGTCGGTGCATGACATTACCGAGTACCACGAGCTTCAGAGGCTGATCATGACCGCCAGCTATGAGTTCAAACCAACCTGGATTGGAGGCTCCGATGCTCAGGAGGTGTTTAATTTGTCTTCATGCAGTGATTCTCAGATATCTGACAAAGCTTTTAAATTCATAATCTGTTGAACTCTGTCTTCCAGGAGAATGTGTTTCTCTGGAGTGATGGAAAACCTTTCCACTACACCAACTGGTGTCCCGGAGAGCCGAACAATGGTCGAACCACGCAGCACTGCGTCCAGATGAATTACGGAGGTAAACCAAAGCACATTATTCTTTCTGGGTATTTAATGTATGACTGGTTCAAAATATAAAGGGTAAGAAATGGAACAACACAGTGTCACGTGTGTTTTTGGGCCGTATACAGTCGGATTTTATGTGGTTCTGACCGAGTTTGTCATTGTTTAGTGTTTGCCACAGGTTCTATAAAGTTGTGTCCAGGTTGTGGTTTTAATGTTTTCTGTTTTCACAGACTCCAAGTGTTGGGATGACTTGCAGTGTCGGGGTCGTCGTCCTTCTGTCTGCGCAAAGAGAACCTGATGACTCCTGGCCATGAAGTACCTGTAAAAAACACAGACAATGCCTTTGTGTCTACATGCTCTTACTTCTTTGTGCCATCTGTACCGTTTAGAAGTTTTCTATTTTGTCTGCTGCTGTAACGCAACTGAAGGAACAAAGCGACGCGTCACACCACCGAAGCTGGACCATCTCCGAGGCCTTGGATAAGAGTGAACGTGGAATGAAAAGAAAGCTTCAAGCACAACTCTCCTTTCTTGTCTTTTGCCAAATTAAACATTTTAAGCATTGAAACGCGCTCGTCTCTGATTATTTCTCAACATTCTGAAAAAGTTCTGCAAAGTTGCACGGATGTTTTCAGCGGGACGTTTTCTGAGCAAAGCACAAAGGCTCCAGTTTGGGAAGTTATATGAGGTGTGGCTGTTAAATAAGGACACGAAAGCTGCAGCTGCATCAGTTCAACTCAGTCTCATTATCCAGTGAACACACCTGGTTCATTTTATAGTGTTTAAACCATCACAGATCCACGCCGTCCTCCTTGTGTCACACTTTTGAAGGTCTCATTTTTAATTCATTACAACTTGAGTCCTGAGCTTGACTTTATTTAATTACAGTCGTGAACAAAAGCGCCCACTCACTCGTTGTTTATCGTGTCAGTCCTGAGTTTCCAATGACTCTCTGAGGGAATCATCTTTGCACACCTCCGGGCTTATAACAAACACAATAAATTCAATTTTCCCAAAGCGGAACCTTTAATCTAAACTGCTGTTTCCTTTCAAGCTATTTAATACTCCGCTGGGATCACTGGGTTCTGACTGGATGGTTTCACTGGTTTGGTCTCTCCTCCTGTAGTGGTGAACTGTGGCACCATCGTGTGGACGGATGCATGTACGGCCGATTATCAAGACTCGAGGGTCACAGAAGGACTGAAGTCAAGCTCAGGTCAGACGTGACAGTGTGAACACAAAGAGACACCCGAACATTTCATGTTGTTGGACCAATGAGTCGTTACGTTTTTTGTAAAAACTTCAAGCTTTGCAGAAATTTCTCGGAGTTGAATACATAAATAGAGCTTTTGATAACTTTTTTGATTTTTGACCTGAGAGTGTGCAAGATGCCAGAATCACTTAATCCAGGGGTGTCAAACTCTGGCCCGCGGGCCAAATTTGGCCCGCTTTGTAATTATATTTGGCCCGCGAGACAATACCAAATGACTACT